AATGTGGGATTCACATATAAATCAAGTATAAAAATCAAACGAATAATCATAATTGACCTGATTGTTTATAGTTCATGATGCGTGATCAAAACCGAAAGTTTCTGTGATATGACTGCCCTTGCACTGTTCACCATGTAAGAACTTATTCACTATGTAAGACCTTGTTCACCATGTAAGAACTTGTTTGTTATGCTTCAGAAGATTGGAGACTGTTGAGATATAGGATTGGGGTTGATTAATGACTGTGCATTGAGTCCCCTATACACAATTTTATTGTGGTTAACAACCATTTGATCAATAAATATGAGAGATGCCCTCTCCAAAAAAAAGTAAATAAAATAAAATAAAAAATAAATAAGAGAAATATTTTCTCTAAAAAAAATTGGAAATGATCCATATGACCATCAGCGGAAAATAGAATTTACAGTATATTTCTACAACACAATGATTATTAGCCATGGATGTAAATAAACTAGAGCTACATATATTTTGGGTGAAAAAAGCAAATTGTGGAGGAATACAGATTTAAAACTTGCAAATTGTAATTTTTTATGAAAATATACATATGTGATTAAAGTAAAAAGTATGCAAAGGAGTGATAACAAATTTAAGATAATGGATTGCTTCTAGTGATTACCTCTATGGAAGAAACAAATGGGAATTGGGGGCCACTGTAATGTTTTATTTCTTTGGGGAAAAAACTTGAAGCTAGTATAACAAAATACTAAGATCTGAAAAAGCAAGGTTCACGGGTGTTTATTTTCTAAACATTTTTTAAGGCAAGGATCATACAATCACAAAATAGAAATAGCAATAACAGACAAATTCTAAAATGAAGAAAATATTTAAAAACAACTTCTCTAAGAAAAAGGGAAGGAAAAAAAGACCACTGAGGCAGTGATATGGGCACTGCTGTAAAATCATTCAGTATTATCTTATTCATTAATGAGCATGTATCACCAGGCTACAGGTTTTAAAACAAAGATAAAAAAGAAAATCAATGACTTCACCAAGTCAAAAGAACTTAGGATTTATACTCACAATAAAAACTAAAAGGAATCAATCACCACTGGATGCTAAAATAATTGTTTTAAAGGCTGCTGGGGAAAAGAACTCATGTAAGTCTCCAAATATTATCCCAGAAATCACTAATGAAAAAGGGAAAAGAAATGGTACCCTTAGAAGTGGAGAGAACTAACTACCTTAACCAAGTAACTGAACTTATCACCAAAAATATAACCAAGAGATATCCTGTGCCTCCTGCTATGCTGTACTGAGAACGATACATCACTCATGAACCATTCTTGTGAGCAATGCTTATTCTCAATCTTAACTACAAGCAAACAGTCAAATTCAAAATGGAAGGGACATTCTGTAAAAGACCTAGATTCTTCAAAAACATCAAGGCAACGGCAGACAAAAACAAAACCAAGCATCGCAGGGAACTGTTCTATACTACAGAAGCTGCTTAAGGAAATGTGACATTTAAATGCAATGCATTAATTCTTGACTGTATCAAAAAGCAGAAACAAAAACAGCTATTATGGAAATCACTGGAAAAATTAAATACAAACTATATGTATATTAGTTAAGAAAACTGTATCAGTCTTAAATTTAAGTGTGATAGTGCTTTTGTGATCATGTAGGAAAATGTCGTTCGTCTTAGGAGATAGAAGTAGTATTCAGAGGTTAAATGTCACGTCACAACTTACTTTCAAATTACGTGTGTGTACCAGTAAGGATGGCCAGCATCGAAAAGACTAAGAACAACAAACGCTGGGGAAAATGCGGAGAAGGGGAACCCTCCTACACTGCTGGTGGGAATGTAAACTAGTTCAACCATTGTGGAAAGCAATATGGAGGTTCCTCAAAAAACTAAAAAACAGAAATACCATTTGACCCGGTAAGCCCACTCCTTGGAATTTACCCAAAGAATACAAGTTCTCAGATTCAAAAGAGACATATGCACCCCTATATTTATCACAGCACTTTTTACAATAGCCAAGATATGGAAGCAACCTGTGTTCATCAGTAGATGGATAAAGAAGATGTGGTACATATACACAATGGAATACTATTCAGCCATAAGAAAGAAACAAATCCTACCATTTGCAATAACATGGATGGAGCTGGAAGACACTATGCTCAGTGAAATAAGCCAGGCGGAGAAAGACAAATGCCAAATGATCTCCCTCATTTGTGGAGTATAACAATGAAGCAAAACTGAAGGAACAAAATAGCAGCAGACTCAGAGAGTCCAGGAATGAACTAGTGGTTATCAAAGGGGAGGGGCGTGGGAGGGGAGGGGTGTGGGAAGGGAGGGAGAAGGGGATTGAGGGGTATTATGTTTAGTACACATGGTGTGGGGGATCACGGGGATTACAGTGTAGCACAGAGAAGGCACAGAGTGGATCTGTGGCATCTTGCTGCACTGATGGACAGTGTGATTGCATTGGGGAATGGGTGGGGACTTGATAATATGGGTAAATGTAGTAACCACATTGCTTGTTTCATGTGAAACCTTCATAAGAGCATATATCAACCATAGCTTAATCAAAAAAAAATTATGTGTGTGTACTGTGTGCACACGGAGAAAGTAAGCATGGCAAAATATGTTACAAGGGCATTCACCGTACTATTTAACTTTACTGTAGGACTGAAATTTTTCAAAAAGGAACAAAATTACTCAGAATCTCCTTTCTACTTTTTCATAAGTCTGAAATTTACAAAAAATTTTTTAAATGAAAAGTGAGTAACTTACAGCGAGGAGCTGTCTTATAAGCATATCTGAGGCTTTTTCAGAAATGTTGCCAACAAAAACTGTAGTAGTAGGACCACAATTTTCATCATTTTCTTTAGTCTTTAAGCCTGGATGATCCTTTCTTGCTCCCAAATGCTTTCCAACCATGGACACAGTGGGTACTAAGACCTAAAGTGAAAAAAGGCAATAAAATTTGATTTGACAATTAAATTTCCTATCATGTTTAATGTAACATTATGCTAGAAATATCTTTTAAAGTAATAAAAATATGACACATTTAACGGTTCTACAGACTTAATCTGAATCCCCTACAGCACACAGCATTTCTCATTAATGCAACTTTATTCATGAGAAGTAAAGTTCCACTATCAGATTACCTTTTTAAAAAAACAACCTGGAAAAGCAAATAATAGCTTGAATAGAAATTTAATGCTTAAGACAAATGTTAAAAGTTTAAGACACCATACATCATTTAAAACTATCAAATATATCCAGAAGTTACTTCACAACTGTACTCTGTGGTAGGATAAAAGGGAATTTTAATTATCCCTGATAATTCTCTTGCAGAATATTTGAATACTTTCATAGCACTCTACCCACACTTACATTTTACCTTTCATCGGATACTTGCCTTTCTTATTTTCCCTTTAAAATTATTAACTTCCCAGAAGAAGGAATAAATAATCTTACTCTTCTTTGTATGTAGAATTGAATTTAGCCAAACACCCACAGTAGGCACTGAATAAATAGTGGTCAATTGGAGGAGCTGCTCCAAACTCCAAGTCCCACCTTTTCCTGGGCTGAGGGTAAGAATGCCTGTCATGTGGAGGCTTTCCAAAAGAGCCACACAATGGACTTCCAAATACAAGAAAAGCTGGACTCTCCGTTGTTTGCAAAACCATATTTTCTTAGCGGTCTGCCTCACAGCAGATTCCTATTTGCCCATGTAGTTCGCATCTCCCTTTTAATGTAACTAAACTCCTCTCCCTTTTGAAAACCAGCAGAGAGAAAAACACTTTAAAATAATGCCCTCCCTCCTAGTGGAAGTCCAAATGAAGCCTGATACTCTAACCATTCAAGAAAATTCTGGTTAAATAACAATTGAGAGCATTATTATTTATTCATGTTATAGTATATTAACTCCTTAACTAAGGTGCTTAAGAGTGTACAGAAGCGTTGATGAATACAGAAAATTAAAGTTTAATATTTCCACTTCAGCAGAGGAAAGCCTTCAGGAAACTTATAAGGCCTGAAGGTATCACACTAGAGGCCAGAGAAAAAATAGCTTGGAAGGGGCTAAATATAGGTAGGTTGGATGAAAAGAGTAGAAATATACTGAACACAAATTTCATTTCAAAATTTCAGTTTCTTATAGTATCATTCCAACATTCTTGTCTTTTTTATAACATGCCACAAAGATCATTCTCCAATCTTAGCTCTCAAGTGCTAAGATTAGTGCCTTAGTTCTCAGTTCCTTTGACAAGATGAAGGAATAATGAAAAAGCCAATGTCCAAAATATGAAATAACAAATAAATGAAGAGTCTACAGAATAAGAGTGAAATCTTTAAATTTTTTAAGGAGCATATTTCAGAGGCAATTACATATATGCATAGCCGAGTGAAAATGTTACTTATTTAAGTAAGTAGTACTTGAGGTACATGGATGCTCTCCCTTATTCCTCTAAGCACATTAAATAATTTACTATTCTTCTAAACCCTTACAATAATTTGTCTAAATTTAACAAGTTTTTTAACTTTAAAAGAAGTTGCACTAACATATCGCCTAATTCCACCTTCATATTATACTTACAGTTGGAGCGGGAGCCATAATGCTCATTGGTACAGGAATCATTGGGGTCCCTAAGAGAAAAACATAAATGAGTCTTAAGAATACAATTATACATGACTGTATTCTACATAACTAACATGCCATACCAATTAAGTCCCTTCACTCATAGCTAATAATTTAACTGCAAATATTGAACTAACAAGAATCAAACACTGATGAATGTGTAATTTTCAAAAGTAACGTGGTATGAGGTTGGATCTATATTAATTTACATACAACAAAAAACTATTCTAAGAGCAAAAAGGCTACCACAACATGCTTTATGCCTTAAGGAGTATTCAGTGCTGGACAGTTGTCAATCATGTTCATCAGGTACAGTACATCTTCAAAACCATCATCTTGCACAAATATAGACTCACTTGTGGGTGAACAATGGCACTAATAAATTCTTTGAAAAAAATTTTTTTAAGTATCAAATGAGAAATTAACCTAGAAATCTAGGAAAAACCTTTTATTCCTGGTAATACTAAAACAAAAATCATGCAAAAACTAAGACTAGTAATCTCAGTCACTGTCAAAGAGAAAGTAAGAAAAATGCTTGCTGCTCTTGAGGGTTTAAGAGCTGTCAGTGGGCCATCTACTACTGCCATCTTAGTAGAATCTACATTTTTGTTTTCAACTACAGTCTGTTTACTAATTAATAGATACTGTACTGAGTTCTTGTATACTTAAGTAATGAAGGAATCTTACCACTTAAGAATTAAGGAAAAGGTTGCAATAAAGGCAAAACCAGTGAAAGATTCCTCTACTTTTCTAATACAGATTTTAAAAATGCTTCTACATGTATCTCAAGCTCTGAAATTGCTCCTCAGTTCAAATTTAGCTGTGGTTTTGAAATTCTCCATTTAAGACTGGAATAAATCCTTAAACATTTAACACTATCGACTTATTTTTCCAATATAACTAATTTAAAATAACCTTATGGTTCTTAAAGTAAGATTTTTAAAAAACAATTATCAAGATTCCTATCAATAAGCCTACAGAAGACTGTAAAAATAGAAAAGAGCAGAGACTTCAGAATTAAACATGCATTTAATTTTTGGTTCTTTTGCTTTTAGCTATGCAACCTTGGGCAAGCTCTTTAACCTTGGCTTCCGTTTCATCAATTCTAGTGATTATATTTCTAGGTATTTATTTCCTTGGAATGCCTGTGAGATTAACTGAGATCATTTATCTGGAGCACTTAAATGCAGTGATGTTCAAAAACTGTAATTAATAAATTCTTATCTAAATTTTAAGTTTTAACTCTACAAAACAAAAACAAAATACTCCCGTTTACCTACGATAATCTATGGTTCTTCTTCCATAGGTACACTTTGCATTAGAGAAAATATTCAGAAAAAGTCATATTGAAAAAAAATTATTTCCTTATTAATAGTTACCAGAAATTTAAGTTTCCTATTTCAGCTTAATTTCATGCAATGCAGAATTCACATTGAAAAACGTATTACTATACATTACATTTTTACAAAGATCCATGCATGCTGAAGTGATAAGCAAACTGCACAAAGTATGAACAGTGTACTACTAGTTGAGTTTTTAAAAAGTGGGGAAAGACTAAACATAAACATACTGGGATATACACAGTGTATCTTTGGAGAGGTTACACACTAGAAAGGGAACTCAGGAATTATGGGGAAGCTTCCTTTTCCTACATGCATGCATTAAAACTTTTTAGGGAAAGATTAATGATTATTTTCCAAATTGTTTTTTCTCATTTAAAATATACTGTGATCACCACATACATTATCTCAGAGTTCAGTTAACTGCACTAATAGGCAAGATAGGAAAATTATATAATGAAGATGGGTACTGTGGTCTTGAATTATTATACCAGTTTAGCATTCTATTTCATTATTTACCTTTAAAAATACTGATACTTCACACAGAATGCAGGTAGTGAACAAGCTGCAACTAACGTCTCATTTATCATGCAACTATGCCTCCCTATACAGAAATAATATGGTATGCTGTGCCAAGTGAAATCAGAATTATTTAAGAGCATTATGACTGAATAAATGCCCACGTGAGTATGGCACTGACCAAACAGGCAACAAGAAATACTGAATATCTGGTTTTGGGGTCTGCTGACCCATCTTAAAAGATATCCGGGGAATAGCCTTAAGAAAAACATGTACCATTTTTCCTCCACTTCCACTTACAATTTGGTATAGTATTCATCAGAAAATGGTAACATTTAGTATGTGTTCTTTAGAAATAAAAAGGAATTTAATATCTTTTCTTAAAAACCAATCTACTGCTTAGGAAATTAAGGCAATTATTTTTCACTGTTACATTTTCCGATTCTGAACAAGTGATTTAAGTTTCAATTGCAATTCCTTTAATTTCTTCACAGAGAAATAGATCTTAAATTTGAGATTATTAATTTATGAGCAAAATTGGGATATATGGACCCCCCCAAAAAATGATGCCCAAATGAAAGTGACTCAGGAAACTGTTCCTCTTAAATTATAAACCTGTTTGATGGTTAACAACTAGCTTTATTCAGTTTTGTTATTATTCTCTCAATTGCCCTTTATAGGAGAAATTCCTTTAGAGTCCATTACACAGCAGCTAAGATAGTGAGTAAAATTCAGTAATTGTTATATGGGATAATAAACTAGTAATATTTAAACTTTCACACTATACCCCAGGCAGCAGGTGATCACAAATATACATCCATGATTACTTAGAACAGCTTAAAACAGGCTGCTACAAGCATAAATGTCTTAAAAACTTGTATAAATAATGCATTCTACCAGATATATACACACACATACGTAGTAGTTCTAATTTTTTTTTTGGAATTATAATTTACCCTCAAATTTTTGAAGTTTTAAACAATACTCCAAAAAAACTGCCATGTTTATCTTGTGACTTTTCACACCCACTCCAACACTGTTGTGTACTTAACATAGGGGTAGGAGGCCCCCAAAGCTGATCCTCTGTAATGTACATGTTATGAATTAACAACCCATCACCTGAGGCAACTGCAGTGTCCTTTTGATTTTGCAACATCAAGCTCTTTGGTAAAACACGATACTTTCAAATAGTTAATTCAACGGTTAAAAATAGGTCCCTGATGAAAAACTTTCCTCAGAAATACTGCAGGTTAATTTACAAGGCCCCTTGCTGATGTCAGCCTAAATTACGTGGATTCTGTCAAAAGAAAAAGTAATTCTAACATGCAAATTAACTAGAGCTATTAGATACCACCTTTAGAAGAGAAATCATTTTGTATAAAATGGTTTCAACACCATTAAAATGAACTACCACCCACAAATGAAAGGAAAACTATCTCTCAGGTCAAGCAATGTTTAATTACCTCAAGACAAAGATTGTCAAGTGTAGGTTCTCTTAACTATGCTTAAATAGATGCCTAGGAATCGTCTGTGAACTTGTTAAAATTAAAGATTCCTGGGCCCCAATTTCTGAGTATCTAATTCACTGGGTTGGGGTACAGCCCAAAAAATTTTTAACCTCATAGAGCTTTGGAGAAAAGCCTTTTTTTTTTATTTTGGTATCATTAATGTACAATTACTTGAACAACATTATGGTTACTAGACTCCCCCTATTATCAAGTCCCCCCCACATACCCCATTACAGTCACTGTCCATCAGCATAGTAAGATGCTATAGAATCATTACTTGTCTTCTGGAGAGAAGCTTTTATATGGTGATTTGGAAAGCTCTCCAAGATACACTGTCAGGTATAAAAAAGCAAGGGGCAGAATAGTATATAAACAGGATGCCACTACATCTGTGTTAGAAGAAAAAAACACTAATGGGTCCAAGAATACATACTTATACCAGCTTGTCATATACATTTAAAAAAGGAAAAAGAAGAAAATAACCCTGTTTTGTTTCCCTTTCAGTAAGGTTATAGAAACAAGTTATGCAGGAATGTGAGGAAAATTTTTCACTGTATATCTTGATTTTTGAACCACATGAACATATTACCTATTTTTTTAATAGTTTTTTTTTCTCAGATGAGTCTGATAATCAGACAGAAAAACTATTGCCATTGGAAAATGAGACATCATATTTCCAGAATGATGCTAACAGATATCTTTACTACTAATACAGTCACATATATACCATTTTCCTAAAGTTAACACTGCAATGACAAAAGTACAGATTAAAAAAAACCAGCAACAGTATCCACAAACTTACCTGGAGGTACAGGTGGAGGAAAGCCAGGAAACTGTGGGGGTGGGATCCCTGGCGGGAGTGCTGGGATTCCCATGGGAGGGCGATTTAGATGAGGGGGAAAAGACATTCTGACTGCAGTGGTCTAAAGAAAGAAATCATGACAAATCATTTTATTTGAAAACGTTACAATTCAATATGCCTACTTTGTTGGCCTTCATTTTCAGAGTATCTGCAAAATTCTGAAGTTTTCTTACCCAAAGGAGTTGGCAAAGACCCTCTTTTCTCTGTCTGTCCATTGAGAATTTTTAAAACTTAGATCTTTTCTAAAATAAGTTCCCAAAATGTACACGATCTAAGTTCAGGATAGACTCCTACAATCATATGGGAATACATATAAAGGAAGAAAAAAATTTTGAGGTTCAGTTAATATCCAAAAATTATATACCTAACATCAACAATTCTTTTTAAACCAAATTCAGAATCCAGGAAGATATCTAACATTTTTCTAAATCAAGTGTTGTGATGCATTCATTTTTTTATACATATCTGCACCCTGAAAACTCAATTTACAAAGTTACACTGCATTGTTGATTCAATGTTGGGTCAGTTCCTCAAGGGCAAAGGAATGTCTCAGTGAACTATAAACCTGAGGGAGGAAAAAAACCTCCTGTTATCAAATCAGATCATAGCCATTCAAATACAAAGAAACATACATTTTGTGACAATGAGAAAAAAGTCCTAATTTTTCTTAGTAACAAACCTCTTAACCATTCTTGAAATTCAATGAATGAATGAAATTCAAGAATCACACAGTAGCATTTGATTTTTTTAAAAGTACAAGAATATATTGAACTATTTCATGTGGCTTGTGATGTAATGAGAGACAATTTTGTCTTTTAGTTAAAAAAAAATAGAGGTATTTAAGACTCCGCCCTCAAATTTTATATTTGTCAACATAAATGTCCACAACTACTGGAAAAAGTAGAAAAAAAATGTTAGGATGTCCTAGGAGAACTCCTGCACCAATTTTAAAAAGCCGCCAAAATAAGTGGGTTGATCTATCAGTGATGCCACTAAAATTTGATCAATTGGAGCTATTTCTGTTGGACACTTAAGAAAAATCCCCCTACCTACACTCTGTAACTGAGGCAGTCTACAGTTCTCACAGGCTTTTAAAAACTGTCTCTACTCTTTTCTTTCTTTGTGTTTTACATACTGTTTTACTCACCCTTTAGAAGAGAGGAGATAAGGGCATGTCTTCCACATCCTCGCCCCCTAATCCCAACAGTTTGGTATATACCATTGTATTCTTCTAAGTATCTTTCTATACACAAACTAATATATAATCATCTGTTTTCTTACAAACAATATAATCATACTATATTGTTATGTGCACTTCTCCTTCATTATCATTAACATCTCTTCACGTCAGTTCAAAAAGTTCCACTCCTTTATTCATAGTGCACTAAACCATTAGAAACATACAAAAATTATTCAACTAACACTGGTAAGTTGGCTCTATGTTTTACCTCAAAAATGATCTTCAACACTCTTGGACATATTGGACATATAGTTCTATACATCTGTGTAATTAATTCTACAATACAGATTAATTTTACATATATCCACACTTGACCTACAAAGCATTCCCCAAAACTAGTGCACAAATGTATATCCCACCACCAGTAAATATATGGGTATGCCCTTTCTCATATTCTCATCCTTGCTGGAGCAAATCAGTGTTTGATAGTTAAAAAAAAACATTCTCTTGTTCTAATTTGCATTTCCCTAAGCACTAATCAAGTTAAGTATCTTTTTACCTGTTTATTGACATTTCTTTAAAATTCTCTTGGGAAAGCATGTCCTTCATGCTCAAGGATGTTCTTCATCAGTGTTGTTTTGACTTAGTAAGTCAGGATAATACGGTATTCTACAAAATCTAAACTTCGATTTCAGAAAACACAGTACACTTAAAATATTTAGAAAGCTTTACAGGCAAAATAAATTCCTAGGATGATTTCATGTACTTAACAAATAAGATACTGGAAATGCTGTAAAATATTAAGCAGGTATCAGCATAAATTAAGAAAGAAAACTGCAACTAATTTAAGACTGTAAATTTGTTGAGCCTTTTAATCTTTTTTGCCCAAAACATATGGAAGGGGGTGGGGAGCGCATCTCCATTTAAAACAGGGCTACTTATTCTACTTACAGAAGCTCTTGTAATATTATTATACTCTATCTCAGGACTTTCTTAGGAAGGCAGTTGTTATTAATACCTGTTGAATCAATCAACCAATTAATCAACCCGTAAACAAACTCTAAGGACCTCATTAAACAAATTTATGAAGAAGCTCCCACATGCCAGGTACTACCCAGGCAATGTCTCAGTTCCTCACCTCACAATGGTAACAGAGATTGGGCCATGAATTCATCTCTACATTTACCTTTTCCCCAAGTACTAGGGACAAATACTATTTTTTAAAAAAACCTCTATATTCTTGGTGTCTAAATTGTATTTCATAGTTTTTAATATATAATTCATTCTGTTAAGAGCTAAACAGATGATGTTTTTAATTTATGCCAGTATACCCATCCTACTCATCTAATTTCTCTATAAAATACTTCCCTTTTATTTAGAACTTGGCTTATTCATAGCCTGAACTTTATATAAAGGTGAAAATAATCTTAGTAAGATAACAGCCCCTCCTATGGTCAGAAAACTTTTCTGGTGATCTCTGATAAATATTAATGTTCACTTTAAACATCCTAAAATAAGAGTATCAACTGGTTATTCCAACATGTTTTATATTTTGACATGTGAAAATGAATGAGAATAAACTTTATAATCATAAGCAAAGCTTATCACTTTTTACCTATAGTTAATAAATTATAATACTTATAATAAATTATGTGTCCAAAGTTGATAGGAAGTTTGTAGAATGAATTAGGGAAGAGAGCTAGGGAGTGTTTTATTCTGAATAAGGGTCAGGCCTCACCAAGAAAGTGGTATTTAAACAAAGACTTGAAAGAGGCTGAGGCAGGAAGTCCTATTCATATCTGGGGCAATAGCCTTCAGAGCAAAGGAAACAGCAAATAAAAGAGCCTGAGGTGGTCACTGGAGTGTTTGGGGAAGGAACAGCAAACCAAACAGCTGGAATGGAGTTCAAGGACAGTTGGAGATAAATGCCAACTATTACTTGGGGAGGAGGTTCAGAGAGTGAATACAGTATTCTATAAATATAAAATACAGTGTTCTATAAAATTTAAACTTCAATTTCAGAAAACACACTACACTTAAAATATTTAGAAAGCTTTACAGGCAAAATAAATTCCTAGGATGATTTCATGTACTTAACAAATAAGATACTGGAAATGCCGTAAAATATTAAGTAGGTATCAGCATAAATTAAGAAAGAAAACTGCAGTTAATTTAAGACCGTAAATTTGTTGAGCTTTTTAATATTTTTGCCCAAAACATATGGAAAGGGGTGGGGAGTGCATCTCCATTTAAAACAGGGCTACTTGTCCTACTTACAGAAGATCTTGAATTATTATAATACTCTATCTCAGCACTTTCTTTGTAGGCCCCACTGTAAAGGTTTTGGTATTTACTCTGAATGAGATGGAAAACATTTGAAAGGTTTTGATTTGACTTATAGTTTAACAATGTCACTGGCCACTGTGTTAAGACAAAGCTGAAGTAGAAGTGGAGGTAGAACAAGAGACGACTGCAATAATCTAGACAAGAGAGGGTGACCTGAACAGGCAGTAGAGGTGGAAGTGGTACCGCTGGATTCTGAAAATGGTAAACAATTGCTGAGGGCTTGGGGGGGGGGTGTTAAGAAAAAGAGAGATGCAGAGGGTATTTTTATTAGCACTGAAATGATTTAAATAGCATTTCAAAAATACTTCATTAGTGCTGCATTTGTAGAAGGTTCAAAGCATTTGAACTGCTAAACATGAAACTTTATGACCCAAAGTAACAAAACAAGCACCTATGACAGAAGTATTCCCTATCTCTAGTATGGCAGTAGTCACACAGGTTTTTGAGTTTGTCAAAATTCAATGAAATTAAAATGGGTGCATTTTATTGTATGTAAATTTTATCTAAAAAAATTTGGTCCAAAAGAAAACCCCCCAACAAAACTTCTAAATAAGATCTATCTCTACCACTCAACATATATAAATTAAGTCTGCTTTCCTCTTTTGCACTTCTCTTTACTCTTTTAAACCACCTTTTTTCCCCCTCCATTCCTGAGAATACCATTACTGCTTAAATGCATTCCTCCACTGCAGATTTAGCCAATGGAAACAAAGTATTTCACCAAGCTAACCTATCAGGACACTGTGTGCCAAATTTCTGACAAGGTAAGAGGCAAATGAACCAATATATTCTCTTCAGCAAACACTCATATCAACCTATTCATTCATTTGTTTTTTAGCTCCAATTATGTACAAGATTCTTTTCTATTATTTAAAAAAATATTATTTTTATTAGTTACGGAAGAGCAAATTTTAATTTATTAGTTATACAGCCAATCCAGTGGCCCTACATTAAATATAAATGATCATTAGTATAGCATGCACTGTCTCCTCCTCTGCTTGTATCTTGCTAGGTACAATGGACTGACCTAACTACCCGAGCCTAAGCAAAGAAAGCCTTTTATAGTATCAATTCTCAAACAAAATTTGCACAGAACTGGAGTCTTAAGGAACTATTCCTAGGAAAAAGTGTTCCATGTCCAAAAAATAATGGGAAATGATTAACAGAAAGCTTTTACAGGAAAGCTTCTCAGAAGTATGAAAATACTCCAGCGTTTTGAGTCTCCAAAAAGAAACGCTGATCTTTTTCTGAGACTTCCACTTTCCTCTTTGACTATTTTCAGTGATTTAAAAGCAGTAATATATATATATAAAGATTAGCGCAGTCTGGAACCTGGGGTGCAAACAGGGAGTGACTTACAAACAGAAAAGAGGGATCTTTTGGGGTAATGATTACACAGTTACTAAAAATCAATGAATTGCACATTTAAAACTAGTGAATTTTGTGTCAATTACACTTGAAAGCTGCTTTAAAAAAAAAGCACTACCAATTCAAAGCAATTTTCAGGCAAAATCTACTTAAGACCTATAGATTAGATAATGTTGTATCAATATTAATTTCCTGATTTTAATCACAGTACTGTTGTTAAAAAGAGAGAATGTCCTTGCTTACTAGGAAATACACATTTAAGTATTTAAGGGTTAAGGGACACCACATCTGAACCTTACTAGCAAAACACTTCAGAAGAACACTAGGGAGAAAAGGAGGAGAGGAGGACAAAGCAAATTGGTAAAATGTTAACATTTGGGGAATGTGGGTAAAAGGTATCTGAGAATTCTTTGTACTACTCTTGCAACTTCTAAGTTTGAAATTCTGTCAAAACAGTTTTTCAAAAGCAATATCAATGATTCTAGTTAGCAGAAAAATGTTCATTTCCTGAAGTTTCAAAATTCCAAAAAAAGTAGGAAAAAACGTAATCCAAAAACGTTGAGGAAATCAATCAAAATCCTCTTTTACGAATGACAGTGGTAGTACCAAAAAAAGACTGAAGGATTTTTAAATACACAATGTTTTTGTAAGACATTAAGAGTCAGTGATTATTTTTGCATCCAAAGATATAAAATAGTCAACGAAATTTTTCTCTAAATCATGAGTAAATGAGAAAAGTAGCTATTTTGTCTGTGGCCAAAAAGTAACTTGAAAACCCCAAACTTGTATTAGGTCTGAAGTATTACCCAAAGTTAAAATGTACTCATTTTAGTTTAAAAAGTGTTATTCAGAGCCTTCATACAGTGGAATAAAAAGACAGCAAACTGCACACATGAAAAGTCAAATTATTAATATATGATGATTAAAAGCAACAGTGAGACAATAAAAACATTTTCTTCCTAAAAGTATTTTGGTGCCTTAACAGACAAAAAAGGGGAGGGGGGATCACTTTGAGGACCAAAAAGGGGAATCTGGTAACCCCAAAAAGATGATTTAATAAAAATAACAACTAGTATTTTTGTTCATAAAAAGCCTTCAGCATTATCTCATTTAATCTCCCAAATTACCTGGTGTAGCTACATTATTCTCCTTTATGTATAAAGAAGCTAAATTGTCTAAGGCAACAATTAAGTAGGCAGAGACTTCAAGGCCCCCATTATCCTGAAATAACCAATCCAAAGGCTCTTTTCACTGCATCACAATGCTTCTTTCTAGTAGTAACACTAATGAGGAACTTATTAAAGATTGACTTTACTTATAAAGTCTATTCAGAATACACTGGAAGAAATGATACTTCACTGAAAATTCTGAAATAACATGGCAGTTAATATTAACTAACTGCTACGTTAGTTGGGTCCTGCACTAAGGATTTTACACACGTCTTCTCAATTAATCCCAACCCCAATAACCTATGAGGGGGATACTATTATAATCCTCATTTTATAAAGAAAACCAATGCTTTAAGAAAAATTAAAATAGTACACTATCAACTTGAATCAGAAGAAACTGATGACCAACTGTATGTCTTTCTAGGTCTCCAAATGTTTTAAAAATTAAAGGTCCCAAGACAATATAAAATTTTTTTTACAGTACTGCCAACTACCTAATTCACAGCACTTCACACTGTAGCAGTCTGGTGCAAAAGAAGTCCAACCTCTTCCCTGCTGTTGGGCTGCTCCACTCTGCCCAGTATCAAAATGGCTTTTCCATGGCAATATAAAACCGTATTACATAACTTCAATATAATCTTCATACTCCTATGAAGTATTTCAAAATGTATTTTCAGGTCTATTTCAAAAACGTATACAAAGTAATACTGAAGATCAAAGAAAGGTGAGAAAGAAGTAACACATTTTAATGTGGAGGTTGGTCATCGCCTAGAATGAATGGAGGGAGGTAAGTTTACTGCAACCTCCAATGGAGAAAGGGGGCAGGACCACAATACTCATCACAATCTCAAGAGAAGCAAACCAAGAGGCGCTAAAAAAAAAAAAAAAAAAAAAAGTGGATATTAGCTAAATTCCTACAAAATTTAGGATGTGGGGCAGCAGATCACTCAGTGGAGGGGTGCAGATGACCAAACAGGAAGGGAAAGAAATCCGTTGGTGGCCAGCACCTTCGCTAAAAAGGGTGGGTGCTGGCTGGCTTCTAGGCAGAGCCTGGGGCAAGTGTGTCTAGGCCCGGAAAATATACCGTAGGGCTCCATAGGCATGGGTTAGAAAGGGGCCTCAGGGAAGGGCTCCAAGGGGTACAGACCGATCGTTTTGTGGCAAACGTGGAGCCCAGAAGCGGCCGAGGCGATTCACTGCGGCGGACCGGGGAAGGGAAAGGGAAAGTGGGCGATAGTTTAGAAGCACTGGCAGTAGGTCCGGCCTCCATGGGCTCCCACTGGGCCCACTGCTTTGGGAGGCCTTAGAAAAGTACAGAAACCCAAGCCTCGTGCCCATCCCCTCCCCCACTCCCACCCCCCGTTACCCCCATTCCAGCCCGGCCCTTTCGGATTCTCCCAGCTTTCCCTCCTCCCGGCCGAGGTACCCGGTCTCCCGGTTTCCACACGCGTTCAGAGGCGTGAACTCACCAGCCGCTAATGAAGCGGTACTTTCTTGGCGGCCTTCCGGGCTCCAGGTTACGAGGGGACTCGACCAGTCCGAGGTTTCTGCGCGCCACTCGCCGGGAGACTGGTTTGAAAGCGCCTTTTCGCACAGGTCGCACAGGCCGCAAAACACAGCCGCGCTGCGCGCGGAGCTTCTGGAAGTCTTCCTCTTACCCGGCATGCACTGCGGCCGGGCGACTGAAGATGAGAACCATAGAGAAGGACGTACATAGATAGTCTTCCCTGTTGGCTCTGAATCACCACCGAGCAGTGAATACCATAGAGAAGGAGCTGCTAGTGAGGACTAGAAAGGCTCGACATGTAAATTAAGACCCACCCTGCCATTTTTGATTGGAGCTGATTGAATCTTATGACCATGCGACGCCATCTTAAGGTCAAGGTTTCCTCTTGGGCAGGGCGTGAGGACTCTTAAGAGGATTTTTCACTTTTTGTAGATTGTGTTTCGGGGATTAGAACCTTTTTTTTATATTTTTGATATTCGATGTACCGAGAACTGGCCTCAACCAGGACCTCAGTGGAAACTCCGAGCGCTGGTCTGTCTCCGGAAAACAGTATTCTTGATATCGAGACAACTGGCAGAGGCCGTGATGGTCCGTTCTCTAAAAGTGAGCACATACACACAGAATTTATGGAGGTTGGTAGGACCAATGGTGGAAAAGATTTTTGAAATATCTAAAACGGCCTGTAAAAGCATTTAACACAGATTTCATTCCGAAATGTAAACGTGCGAAGAACTTCACTTATTAAGGAAATAAACTAATCACAAATTATTAGGTTATTCAGTTTATGGACTTGGTGGTCAATACCTATTTTACAGGCCTTTGTTTCCCAACTGCTTGCTTCTCAGAAAGCTTATAGTTCATTCAGTGCAAAGATACTGTCCCCCTGCGTTCTGTGAGTATGAAGGTAAATAGGAGTCAGACAATTTCTGTTGGGGAGATGTCGCTAACAACGTGGAATAGATCACTGACCGTTGTATATGAAATTTAAACACACCTCCACACTTCCTATCTGCTTTTCCTCTTTAGTTTCCTCTATAGCCCTTATCACTATCTACTGTACTATATATTTTCCTTATTTCACCATTTGTCTGCCCCTACCTCTCTAGAATGTAAACTTAAGGAGTGCAAGGATTTTGTTCACTGCTATATCCATAGTGCCTAGAACAATGCCTGCTACATAGCAAGTGCTCAATAAATATTTGTTGAATGAAAGAAATGATTACACGTGAATTACCAATAGGATATAAAATGCAATGGAAGATTAGTGGGACAAACTAAACCTTACTACAATCTGTAAAATTTATATCCATCTGTATTTCTGTTTGTTAGGTTTCCTTACCATTAAGTAGAGCTGACAATATCTACTCCCCAGAGCTATTATTGAAAGGGTTAAATTAATTAACGCATGTGAAAGTACTTCGTTCAGTAAAGTGCTAGTCAAATGCCAGTTACATTTTGTAAGTAAAGAATTTGTGCCTTTTTTTACAACCACAGGCAGGAACACAGAAATCCTCTCAGATTACTCTGTATCCCTTCATATTTTTTAGAAACACCATATACAATATTTTATGTATTACTTGTATAATATAATAAAATCGTAGAAGTTGTCTCAAGCAACAGCTTGCTAACTTTCCTAGAGTAGGTATTTACTGTTTATACTGACCCAGTGTTCATTCTCCTGCCTTTGGTAAAGGCACTCCAAATTTCTTAAAACATCCTTCCACTACTCCAGATCTTTACAGTTTGGATAGAAAGTTCCAACCCATCAGACCCCTAGAATCAGGGTAGACTTACCAACGCAATCAGAGCCTGGTAATTTAGCCCTTACCTTGTACCAAGCACTATTTTAAGCATCTCGCAAATATTAGCGACTTTAAACTTCAGAGCAAGCCATTAAAGTAGGAGCTGTTGTGATACAGATTAAGAAAAAACTAAAGCTTGGGGCGGGTAAGGAACTTGTTCAAGGTAATATGACTAGTAAGTGATGGAGCCAATCTGATTCACATGTCCATGCTCTTAACCATTACACTATGCTGTTCATCCTATTAGGAATAATGCTAAAAAGTGGGGTGAGGAGATTGGGAGCTCTGCCTCTTTTACTTATCTTAGATATGGGAGGATTTAAGTTTGGAACTAGTGGAGAAACAATGAATGAAACCATCACAGAAGAAAGCACAGAAAAAGAAGATGAGAGGTTTTTGATAACACCATTTGAGAACAAGAATTCAACCATTCTTGAAGCCAGTTATGCTTCTAGGCTTCTTGGTCTGCAAACCAGTAATTCCTTTTCCAATATCAGTTTGAATTGGATTTTCTATCCCTTCAACAGAAAGAGTCCTAAGTGATTCATTTGTGTATCATTTGCAGAGGGTAAGCCAACCATTCACGTGCAATGGCAATCAACACCTATGAGGATGTTTTCCCCATAGGTCCTTGCTGAGGAAGTGGCTATAGATAATTAACTTAGATATTGGGCACACATTATGTGCATTCTGACCCCATTCCTATGCCACATCTAACCTAATTTTTCAGCAACATACCATGTGACCAGTGAGAAAAAACACTGTTTAGCTAGCCAAGAAGATCCTCGAAGAATTTAAACTGGAGATACAGTGGAGTCAATGAATTGACAGCAAGGGAGAGATATAGTGATAAGTGATAGAGTAGGTGAATCATGTCAAAAAAAGAAAATCACTAAAATGTGAAAATTTTAGTGCCCTGGATTAGGAAAAGGAAATTACTGGAATTGTTGTCAAGGCACCTAAGCTGTCATCAGAACTGCTGGAGCTAAGGCAGTATTCTGATGAAAACTTGGCTCCCAGGGGGCCTGGCCATGTAACTTCAGTTCCTGCTTCCTCACTTTGGGCATATCTTCCTCACATCTGCTTCTCAGTCTCCCTGTTAAACAATGAGTTCCTTCAAGGAAGGGACCATGTATTTAGTATTTATTCACTTTTAACAGGCCAAGATAGACACATAATTTTAACAAAATTAACGTTTGATTTTTTTTAAATTACAGCATGTCTTTAAAATAAAGAAAAATGATTTCAAACAGCCAGATACCAATCAGTTTTTCTCTGTATTTCTGCCTAGAGCTCCACTTTAGGCTAATTTGTCATCAAGATTCACATTTGATGTGAATTCGAAGTGCTTCCACTTGGCATTATTAAAATATTTATGTAATTATAGAATATAAATGTGTTAGACCTTCTAAAGTTATCAAAAAACAGTATTACTGGGTGGAAGAAAGCAATTTTCCTCATAAACTGATGACATTGACCATACTATGTGCTGTAAACGAGAGATACTCAGGTAGCCTTGAAAAATGGAGGGTTTGTTAATATTTAGTGATAGAAATATGCAAAGTACTAGCAGGATCATAGTCCAGCCTGCAGATCTAGGAAAGTCAGGGAAAGCTTCCAGGAGGAAGTATTATCCTGAGCTATGTTTTAACCAAGGCTGCAGAGGAAGGACAAATTATCTTGAGCTATGATGTGGGGTTTTTTTTATCATTAATCTACAATTACATGAGCAACACTATGTTTATTAGGCACCCCCCCCTTCACCAAGTCCCCCTGACAAACCCCATTACAGTCACTGTCCATCAACGTACTAAGATGCTGTAGAGTCACTACCTGTCTTCTTTGTGTTGCACTTCCCTCCCTGTGCCTCCCCGCACATTATACATGCTATTCATAATTCCCCCTTTCTTTTTCCCGCCTTATCCCTCTCTTCCCACACATCCTCCCCAGTCCCTTTCCCTTTGGTAACTGTTAGTCCATTCTTGGGTTCTGTGATTCTGCTGCTGTTTCGTTCCTTCAGTTTTTTCTTTGTTCTTATACTCCACATGAGTGAAATCATTTGATACCTGTCTTTCTCCGCCTGGCTTATTTCACTGAGCATAATACCCTCTA